CTTACACAGTGTTCCCCCCCCCAATGCACAACTTACACAGTGTTCCCCAATACCCACCTTACAGAGTGTTCCCCCATGCACACCTTACACATTGTTCCCCCTCATGCTCACCTTACACAGTGTTCCCCCTCTATGTTCACCTTACACAGTGTTCCCCCCTCTATGCTCGCCTTACACAGTGTTCCCCCAATGCTCACCTTACACAGTGTTCCCCCCTATGCTCACCTTACATAGTGTTCCCCACTATGCTCACCTTACACAGTGTTCCCCCATGCTCACCTTACATAGTGATCCCCTATGCACAGCTTTCGCAGTGTTCCCCCATGCACACCTTACACAGTGTTTCCCCATGCACAGCTTTCACAGTGTTCCCCCATGCACACCTTAAAGAGTGTTTTCCTATGCACACCTTTTACAGTGTTTCCCCATGCACACCTTACAAAGTGTTCCCCCATGCACACATTACACAGTGTTCCCCCATGCACACCTAACACAGAGATCCCCAATGCACACTATACACAGTGTTCCCCCATGCTCACCTTACACTGTGTTCCCCCCATGCACACCTTACACAGTGTTCCCCCATGCTCACCTTACACAGTGTTCCCCCATGCTCACCTTACATAGTGATCCCCCCATGCACACCTTACACAATGTTCCCCCATGCACACTTTATACAGTGTTCCCCCCAGTCTCACCTTACACAGTGTTCTCCCAATGCACACCTTACACAATCTTCCCCCATTCACACCTTACACAGAGTTCCCCTATGATACCCTTACACAATGTTCCCCAATGCTCACCTTTCACAGTGTTCTCCCATGCTCACCTTATACAGTGTTCTCCCCTGCACATCTTACACATTGTTCCCCCATGCTCACCTTACACAGTGTTCTCCCATGCACACCTTACACAGTGTTCCCCCATGCACACCTTATATAGTGATCCCCCCATGCACACCTTACACAGTGTTCTCCCATGCACACCTTATACAGGGTTCCCCCATGAACAGCTTTCACAGTGTTTCCCCATGCACACCTTACACAGGGTTTCCCCATGCACACCTTCCTCAGTGTTCCCCCAATGCTCACCTTTCAGTGTTCCCCATGCACACCTTACACATTGTTCCCCCATGCTCACTTTACACAGTGTTCCCCCATGCACACCTTACACAGTGGACCCCCCATGCCCACCTTACACTGTCTTCCCCCATGCACACCTTAGAGTTCCCCCATGCTAACCTTACCCAATGTTCCCTAATGCTCACTTTACACAGTGTTCCCTCCCGTGCACAACTTACACAGTGTTCCCCCCCATGCACAAATTACAGTTTTCCACTATACCCACCTAACAGAGTGTTCCCCCCATGGACACCTTACACAGTGTTCCCCCCATGCTTTCCTTACACAGTGTTCCCTCACCCTATGCTCACCTTACACAGTGTTCCCCCCATGCTCACCTTACACAGTGTTTCTCCATGTTCACCTTACACAGTGTTCCCCCCATGATCACCTTACAGTATTCTCCCCCATGCTCACCTTACACAGTGTTCCCCCATACCCACCTTACACAGTGTTCCTCCCCATGCACACCTTACAAAGTGTTCCCTAATGCACACCTCACACAGTGTTCCACCATGCAAACCTTACACAGTGTTCCCCAATGCTAACCTTATACAGTGTTCCCCCATGTTAACCTTACACAGTGTTCCCCCCGTGCACACCTTGCACAGTGTTCTCCCCCCCATACTCACCTTACACAGTGTTCCCCCCTCTATGCTCGCCTTACACAGTGTTCCCCCCATGCTCACCTTACACAGTGTTCCCCCCTATGCTCACCTTACATAGTGTTCCCCACTATACTCACCTTACACAGTGTTCCCCCATGCTCACCTTACATAGTGACCCCCTATGCACAGCTTTCACAGTGTTCCCCCATGCACACCTTACACAGTGTTTCCCCATGCACACCTTTCACAGTGTTCCCCCATGCACACCTTAAAGAGTGTTTTCCCATGCACGTCTTTTACAGTGTTTCCCCATGCACACCTTACACAGTGTTCCCCCATGCACACCTAACACAGTGTTCCCCCATGCACACCTAACACAGAGATCCCCAATGCAAACCATACACAGTGTTCCCCGCATGCACACCTAATAGTGTTCCCTAATGCACACCTTACACAGTGTTCACCCCATGCACACCTTACACAATGTTCCCCCATGTACACCTTACAGAGTGCTCCCCCATGCACACCGTACACAGTGTTTCCCCCATGCACTCCTTACACATTCTTTCCACATGCACACCTTACACAGTGTTCCCCCACCATGCTCACCTTACACAGTGTTTCCCCATGTTCACCTTACACAGTGTTCCACCCATGATCACCTTACAGTATTCTCCCCAATGCTCACCTTACACAGTGTTCCCCCATACCCACCTTACACAGTGTTCCTCCCCATGCACACCTTACAAAGTGTTCCCTAATGGACACCTCACACAGTGTTCCCCCATGCACACCTTACACAGTGTTCCCCAATGCTAACCTTATACAGTGTTCCCCCATGTTAATCTTACACAGTGTTCCCCAATGCTAACCTTATACAGTGTTCCCCCATGTTAATCTTACACAGTGTTCCCCCCGTGCACACCTCACACAGTGTTCACCCCATTCCTACCTTACACAATGTTCCCCCCATGCACACCTTACACAGTGTTCCCCCATGCTCCCCTTACACAGTGTTTCCCTCATACTCACCTTACTCAGTGTTCCCCCCATGCTCATTTTACACAGTTTTCCCCCTTATGCTCACCTTACACAGTGTTCCCTCCATGCTCACCTTACACAATGTTCACCTCCATGCACACCTTACACAGTGTTCCCCCCAATGCTCACGTTACACAGTGTTCCAACCCATGCTCACCTTACACAGTGTACCCTTATGCACACCTTACACAGTGTTTCCCCCATGCATACCTTACACAGTGTCTCCCATGCACACCTTACACAGTGTTCCCACATGCACACCTTACACAGTGTTCCCCTCATGCTCACCTTACACAGTGTTCTCCCATGCTCACCTTATACAGAGTTCCCCCATGCACATCTTACACAGTGTTCCCCCATGCACACCCTACACAGTGTTCTCCCATGCACACCTTACACATTGTTCCCCAATGCACACCTTACACAGTGTTCTCCCATGCACACTTTACACAGTGTTCCCCCATGCACACCTTACTCAGTGTTCCCCCATGCACACCTTATACAGGGTTCCCCCATGAACACCTTACACAGTGTTTCCCCATGCACACCTTACACAGGGTTTCCCCATGCACACCTTGCTCAGTGTTCCCCCGTGCGCACCTTACACAGTGTTCCCCCATGCTCCCCTTACACAGTGTTTCCCTCATACTCACCTTACTCAGTGTTCCCCCCATGCTCATTTTACACAGTTTTCCCCCTTATGCTCACCTTACACAGTGTTCCCTCCATGCTCACCTTACACAATGTTCACCTCCATGCACACCTTACACAGTGTTCCCCCCAATGCTCACGTTACACAGTGTTCCAACCCATGCTCACCTTACACAGTGTACCCCCATGCACACCTTACACAGTGTTTCCCCCATGCATACCTTACACAGTGTCTCCCATGCACACCTTACACAGTGTTCCCACATGCACACCTTACAGTGTTCCCCTCATGCTCACCTTACACAGTGTTCTCCCATGCTCACCTTATACAGAGTTCCCCCATGCACATCTTACACAGTGTTCCCCCATGCACACCCTACACAGTGTTCTCCCATGCACACCTTACACATTGTTCCCCAATGCACACCTTACACAGTGTTCTCCCATGCACACTTTACACAGTGTTCCCCCATGCACACCTTACTCAGTGTTCCCCCATGCACACCTTATACAGGGTTCCCCCATGAACACCTTACACAGTGTTTCCCCATGCACACCTTACACAGGGTTTCCCCATGCACACCATGCTCAGTGTTCCCCCATGCGCACCTTACACAGTGTTCCCACATGCACACCTTACACAGTGTTCCCCCATGCTCACCTTACACAGTGTTTCCCTATGCACACCTTACACAGTGTTCCCCCCATGCACACTGTCACCACCCTGGAGACTAAATAAGGTTCTTCTCCCTACAGTGTAAAGAAATGATAATAAATCGGCCTTGGCAATAAATGTCTAGGGGTATAACTACATCACTGCATAAAAATGGAGAACAATATATTTATGCTAAGGGGGATACACATAACAACAATCAAATATATAAATAATAGCCAAAAATATTCTTCAACATGCAATATCATAGAATGAAATTAATTATTGAGACATGAGCAATATCACCAGAACATGGAGTAATCAATAGTAATACTCAAATCACCTTGCACAGTGTTCCCCCATACTCACCTTACATATAATTCCCACATGCACACCTTACACAGTGTTCCCCCATGCACACCGTACACAGTATTCCCCCATTCACACCTTACACAGTGTTCACCCATGCACACCTAACACAGTGTTACCCAATGCACACCTTAAACAGGATTACCCCATGCACACCTTACACAGTGTTCCCCCATGCACACATTACACAGTGTTCCCCCCTGCACACCATACAGAGTGTTCCCCAATGCACACCTTACACAGTGTTCCCCCATGCACACCTAATACAGTGTTCCCCTATGCACACCTTGAACCTCTCCTGCACTTGACACATCAGAAGAACGAAGCCCATAATTGTCAACTTTGTCACTCGTCATTAGATTATTTAAAGTGTGTCACTGACTACCTTCAACACTTGCATGATACTCAGAACTGCCTAACTAGGTCAACACAGATACAATATATTGCAATAATATTTGGCTGCTAGAACATGTACCTTTAATACGCATTACATTACTCTCCATAGAAACAAAACTGATCAGACACTTTACAATAATAAATATTTTTTGTTTATTGCAGACGACATCAGAAGAGAGGCTGGGGTTTTCTCAAAAGTATCTTTTCTGGGGCTGCCAGGGCTCTGAGTGGAGCATTCCAACAGAGTCCTAATACATATGGAGCTATCCAACCCCAGGCTAATACATATGGAGCTATCCAACCACATGCTAATACATATGGAGCTATCCAACCCCAGGCTAATACTTATGGAGCTATCCAACCCCATGCTAATACATATGGAGCTATCCATCCCAATCCTAATACATATGGAGCTATCCAACCCAATCCAAATGTACATGTAGCTATCCCACCCAACCCAAATATACCTGGAGCTTTCCAACCCAATCCAAATATACCTGGAGCTAGCCAACCCAATCCAAATATACCTGGAGCTTTCCAACCCAATCCAAATATACCTGGAGCTAGCCAACCCAATCCAAATTAGAGTTACCATTGAAATTGCGGGAATCTATCCGCAAAGACATACAGGCATTAAGATACACAAGCAGAGAGAAAAACTTACAGGCAGACACGTTTCCACGTATATATAACTGAAAACTCACACCCCAGAAGTGACTCGAACCCATACTCTTCTGGGGTGTGAGTTTTCAGTTGCATATTGTCCAGGGGACCATTCAGGCTTGTTCGCATATATATATATATATATATATATATATATATATATATATATATATATATATATATATATATATATATAACAAGACCAGAACATAACGATGCCAACACAGAAGACAATGTTCAACATAACAGGCCAATTACACTTGATTAATCTTTGTATGTAGATAGAAGCTGCCTCGTATGGGCCAATAAGCCTTCTGCAGTTACCTCTATTCTTATGTTCTTATGTTTCACCCCACATTTATCCCTTATGTATTACCCCATGTTTTCACCTTTATTGTCTTATCACCTGACCCAGTGCGGGTATAAAATCAACCAGCCCTGTAAAATCTCTTCACTTGAGAATGAACCATGGAGGTTCGAAACGTTGTGCAAATTGTATAAATAAGTGTAATACATTCTATAGTAAATCACTTCTTTTCTTCACCTTAAAAGTACGAAAATGAGAAAATAGTTAGAGGGATAGAAGCCCTAAAGCAGAAAATAATAAATACAGAATATGCGGTCATATTCAATGAAAACATGTTTGAAAGAAAACCTGCTGCCAGTATACACCATTATATATATATATATATATATATATATATATATATATATATATATATATATATATATATATATATATATATATGTCGTACCTAGTAGCCAGAACTCACTTCTCAGCCTACTATTCAAGGCCCGATTTGCCTAATAAGCCAAGTTTTCCTGAATTAATATATTTACTATAATTTTTTTCTTATGAAATGATAAAGCAACCCTTTTCTCTATGTATGAGGTCAATTTTTTTTTATTGGAGTTAAAATTAACGTAGATATATGACCGAACCTAACCAACCCTACCTAACCTAACCTAACCTATATTTATAGGTAAGGTTAGGTTAGGTAGCCAAAAAAAGCTAGGTTAGGTTAGGTTAGGTAGGTTAGGTAGACGAAAAAACATTAATTCATGAAAACTTGGCTTATTAGGCAAATCGGGCCTTGAATAGTAGGCTGAGAAGTGCGTTCTGGCTATTAGGTACGACATATATATATATATATATATATATATATATATATATATATATATATATATATATATATATATATATATATATATATATATATATATATATATATATATATATATATGTCGTACCTAGTAGCCAGAACGCACTTCTCTGCCTACTATGCAAGGCCCGATTTGCCTAATAAGCCAAGTTTTCATGAATTAATTGTTTTTCGACTACCTAACCTACCTAACCTAACCTAACCTAACTTTTTCGGCTACCTAACCTAACCTAACCTATAAAGATAGGCTAGGTTAGGTTAGGTAGGGTTGGTTAGGTTCGGTCATATATCTACGTTAATTTTAACTCCAATAAAGAAAAATTGACCTCATACATAATGAAAAGGGTAGATTTATCATTTCATAAGAAAAAAATTAGAGAAAATATATTAATTTAGGAAAACTTGGCTTATTAGGCAAATCGGGCCATGAATAGTAGGCCAAAAAGTGCGTTCTGGCTACTAGGTACGACATATATATATATATATATATATATATATATATGTCGTACCTAGTAGCCAGAACTCACTTCTCAGCCTACTATTCAAGGCCCGATTTGCCTAATAAGCCAAGTTTTCCTGAATTAATATATTTACTATAATTTTTTTTTTATGAAATGATAAAGCAACCCTTTTCTCTATGTATGAGGTCAATTTTTTTTTATTGGAGCTAAAATTAACGTAGATATATGACCGAACCTAACCAACCCTACCTAACCTAACCTAACCTATATTTATAGGTAAGGTTAGGTTAGGTAGCCAAAAAAAGCTAGGTTAGGTTAGGTTAGGTAGGTTAGGTAGACGAAAAAACATTAATTCATGAAAACTTGGCTTATTAGGCAAATCGGGCCTTGAATAGTAGGCTGAGAAGTGCGTTCTGGCTATTAGGTACGACATATATATATATATATATATATATATATATATATATATATATGTCGTACCTAGTAGCCAGAACTCACTTCTCAGCCTACTATGCAAGGCCCAATTTGCCTAATTGGCCAAGTTTTCATGAATTAATGCTTTTTCGTCTACCTAACCTACCTAACCTAACCTAACCTAGCTTTTTTTGGCTACCTAACCTAACCTTACCTAGATATATAGGTTAGGTTAGGTTAGGTAGGGTTATCTTAAGGTTATCTTAAGTTGATTTCGGGGCTTTAGTGTCCCCGCGGCCCGGTCCTTGACCAGGCCTCCACCCCCAGGAAGCAGCCCGTGACAGCTGACTAACTCCCAGGTACCTATTTACTGCTAGGTAACAGGGGCATTCAGGGTGAAAGAAACTTTGCCCATTTGTTTCTGCCTCGTGCGGGAATCGAACCCGCGCCACAGAATTACGAGTCCTGCGCGCTATCCACCAGGCTACGAGGCCCCTGGGTTGACAGGGTTGGTTAGGTTCGGTCATATATCTACGTTAATTTTAACTCCAATAAAAAAAATTGACCTCATACATAGTGAAAAGGGTAGCTTTATCATTTCATAAGAAAAAAATTATAGTAAATATATTAATTCGTGAAAACTTGGCTTATTAGGCAAATCGGGCCTTGAATAGTAGGCTGAGAAGTGAGTTCTGGCTACTAGGTACGACATATATATATATATATATATATATATATATATATATATATATATATATATATATATATATATATATATATATATATATATATATATATATATATGTCGTACCTAGTAGCCAGAATGCACTTCTCAGCCTACTATGCAAGGCCCAATTTGCCTAATAAGCCACGTTTTCATGAATTAATTGTCTTTCAACTACCTAACCTACCTAATCTTGTGGGAACCGACCTGTGAGATTTATATATATTTAATATATATGAATTTATATAGAATTTATATTTACGTTAATTTGTATACTTCGATAGCAATTGGTATGATGATAAGTGGACTGTATTTCTGCAATAATCTCACAAATCGATCCTCTACACATTAGGGGGGGTTTATATTAAATTTATATATATGCAGCAAATCAAACTACAGTATTAACTACACATTAGTGTACATTGAAGATGTGGGAACCGACCTGTGAGATTTATATTTATTTAATTTATATGAATTTCTATGAATTTATATTTACGTTAATTTATATACTTCGATAGCAATTTGTTTGATGATAAGTGGACTGTATTTCTGCAATAATCTCATAATCTCACAAATCGATCCTCTACACATTAGGGGGGTTTATATTAATTTAATTTATATATATGCAGCCAATCAAACTACAGTATTAGACTACATACATTGAAGAGGTTCCTTATCTTATTTGTACAGCAGGCCTCAGTCCACCAGGTATAACCAGGATGTAGACACCACATTTTCCCTCTTTGAGGTAGCTTCCATCACCCAGGTAACTGATGCACAAAGCATGCTTCCTCGTCTTGACCTGTCAAAAGGGCGCTAGCTGTGAAGCCAGAATCCTAGTATATGACAGGTATATCAGAGAAAACACTGTACAAGGAACCATATAGACCTGGCTTAATTACCCTTAGTATGAGGCTATCTCGTGCTCTAACCGATTCACCCTACCTAATGACATTAATGGCCACTAATGATAGATAAATGGGTTTCGGTAGAACACTTAACTTGAATTTGTTGACAGCGTGTTGATGATGGTACACCTTTGGTTTCCATAACACTTCGTCCAAGTAAAATTAACAGGAGCCGTATTTGCTCCCGTGAGCCTCTGGTCTCAGTCCAAACAATGGCTGTCCCTCCCTCACAACCGATGCTACTGGCCTACATTGTCCAGATGACAGTAAGTGATAGAAGGGTCACATTTACTCTACTTTAATTCTGATAATTAAGTTAATTTATATGAGATGTTTTTATGATGGTAAAGTCCAAAGACTAATGTATTTAAGAATAATTCCCACCATAATAGGTGGTGAATTTATAATAGTATGTGGTAATGATATTCCGTTTTCTATAGACGGTAATTCCACTGCAAGTTACGTTTTCTATGGGTTAACTTGTTTATACAACACAGCAATAATTATCTGTCTGTATGATATATTAAATGGTGTCGGATTTTCCGACATAATTCCCCAGGGGCTGCTCACGGGTCGAAGTCCTATTTAGAACAGACAAACACCGATACTCCTCCTTTGAATTATTAGATTAATTTGATGTTAGTAGTTAGTAATCACACATTTGTGCGTCTGTTCGTACAGGACGGATGTCCCGTACTAGAGTTGCAAGGGTTAGAAGTCTAATGCGAATTCATTTCCCTGTCAACTCTTGAAAGGCTAATATTCAAGCCTAATTACATATTATTTAACCCAGAAGACTGAATGTGATCAAGTACTACAGTCAAGTATGATTCAGGGACTGCAGTGAGATCAGTGACATTAGATATAACTTGAAGTTTGTTCAGGTAACTGGTCACTGATATATAAACACTGAGGTCCATGGAATACATCTTGATTAAATAATAAATGTATCAAATCAGTCATCAGATTTATTGGGGTTTAATTTAGTTAATTGATTCAGAAGATTGAATAGCTCATCATTAAAGTAAAGTATGGTTCTGAGACTGCAGTGGGTTCAGTGACATTGGTCGCAGTGACTTGTAGCTGTTTTAGGCTACTGTTCACTGATTTGCCACTGAGGCCTCATGAACTCATCTTCAGCTTTAAATGATGATACTAACATCAACCTCTGTTGGTATAGTCAGCTGTAATCTCCTTAGTATAATGCTACTGGAGAAATATAATCAGCTGACAAATTTAGATTTCTACTGGTATTGTTTATCTGCAGGCATAGGTCTCCTCAGGCTTGATACTGGGCCTGAGAGTAATTTACCTCCTGCAGAGTTTAACATGGTTATGCCCTGATATTTAGTAGGGCTACCGATGAATCGATGGCAATAGTCTGTCCCTACAAGGAGACCGAAGTCGGTGA